GGCAGATTTTCTTTTATGAACTTAACTCCAAAGGTTTCAAGAGCCTCATCATAACCTAGATAGTGATTTTCCCTGGTAAGATTAATTGATGCTGCTACTTGGAGCTTTTTTTGTAGAGATGGATTTCTGCAGGTTTTAATCAAAAATCTACTTACTGATTCTGCATATCTACTTTTTCCAGTTATAGGAAATAATGGTGCAAATGCATTTAGGCTTTTTAATTGTAATTCTAAGTTTCCTGTTCTGATACCTAATTTATGTAGTTTTAATAACCCTACCCACTTATAATACATTACCCAAACTTTAAGGATATTGTTATCACTTGCTAATATATTATTAATATTAGTATTATTTTGTCTCATATACAGGTAGACTGAAATGCCGATGGCTGTCCATATCAGATCAAGCACTCGAAAAGTTGCTCTATAATCTGCAACCTTATCAAATTTATCTAAGAATCTTACACCAAGAGTTTTAGCTATTCCAAAAAGACCATACCCGGAGAAAGCTGATATTAAGGCACTGCACATTGCCTTATTGGTGTGCCACTAGCCAAGAATGCAGTTCAAGTCTTGTTGAGAATTAGAATAATTTTTTAGTCTACGGTAAATTGCTTCATCACAAACTATATCTAAAACACCTTCGTTAGATATGCCAAAGTCATCCAAATACATGTCACATGCTTTGTGTACATTTTCATCTGAATTTGGTTCATGACCAGCCTCAAGAATTACAATATTTGGTGGTGGTAAGTCACATCCACTTATAATATATTGTTGAATTGAAATATCTGCATTTTCTTTGTAAAAGTTCTTAATGTATGTATTGTACAGAGCATCAAAAACATTATTAAATTTTTCAATCCAATTTTCAACAAATGAATTTTCACTAAATAATGGTTCCTTTATTGTTGGTTGAAACATTGGTAAATCAGGTAAATCAAACTGAAATACCATTCTTAATGTTGCATGTGATGTATTTCTTGTAACATCAAAGATGTTACCATAAGAAAATGTATGATCTTTAATGTCAATATTATCAATTACTGCTAGATTCCAAATATTACGACCTGTTTTAAGCTTGGATGCTGGTACAGCTCTTGAAATACGTTTATTCATATTCCTGTTTTCATGATGTCTTGTATGTGAAATAACATGGACTTTTTGTAATATTGAATATAGATAGGGCATCAGTCTTGGTTTCTGGCATAATGATGACATCACTTGTGTAAGCCAAATTTTAGCATTGGGAAAAGCAAATGTTAATATTACTGATGCCAAAAATGTAGTAAGCTTTATTAAATTAGTTTCATTGAACACAGGTGGAGGTAATTTGCGTTGTTTTCTTTCTTTTTATTACACCATGTTTTTTTTCTTCTAGATCATGAATAAGCTAAAAAATAAGATCAGTAAGATCTTTTGGCATTATTTCGTAAAATTCAGCAAGTGTGGCAGGATTCTCTAATGTTTCTTTATTTTCTATGAGCTTGGTATGTGATTTCCAGACAGATGTTGCTAAAGATTTACTAAATTTTATGTATGATTCTGTTTGTGATTTATTTGATTGTAAATTTTCATTTGTAGGCATTTTATTCACTCTAAATGCTACACTTAAAAGAAATAAAGTTGGTCTAGGAACTATTAAATTATTGGATGGTATGGAGGATTCTTCTACTATGGATTCTGTTGATGTAAAATCTTGTACTATAGGTTTGGTAGAAACTTCTGTATTAAAATCTTTAAAAACTTGTATTAAAAGATTTAATAATTTATTTTTTGCATTTATATCATCTGAGGAAGCAACATTGTTGATCCATTTAGAAAAAAGAATCAAAGATAGGGATGATTCTTTGTCATGTATACATGGTTTTGGATGTTTTGTTCCTGTTCTTATATGTAGATGTCCTCCATTTAATACCCAACAATTAGTACAAATATATCTTACACGTTGAGGAATATTTGTTTGAAAACTTTGCAAAATCAGGTAATCCTTCCATTGCTGGACAATTATATAAGCCTCTACATGGAATCTGAATATTGCGTCCACAAACATTCCATATATGCACTGGGCAGTAATCACCTCCTCTAGTGACAAAATATTTAAATTTGTTGCAAAGAAGACATCTCTTTTTATGCAATTTACATTTATTAGCTGCAATAATTGATTTGATACGTGTTTCTCCTGGTAGAGGTTTGTGAAGTGTATTTTGATCATAATTTAGATGTCTTAAACACATACCTAATCTTTGTATATCTTCTCCAACTTCTTTAACAGCACCTGAATCAATCTCAAATGAACCACTTAAATTTGAAATACTACGATTTCTATCTATACAATTACATCTTTCAATTTTGTTTCCATTTTTGTCATTGTCAATGATTACACATGGTGTTACTTTATCAAATTCCTCTGGGAATTCTTTATCATATTCTTCTTATTATCTTCATCATCATTTATTTCACTCATAGACAGATTTTCTTCTATATTATCATCAACTAATTCTATATTTATAGCATCATTCATTGATTCTTGGAATGAAAATTCATCAAATTCTAATATAGAATCAATCTGGTCATTATCTTCTACTAATATTGGAAATGAGTTAGAATCAATCCGGTCATTGTCTTCTATTAATATTGGCAATGAGTTAGAATCAAAGAATTCATTTAAAGAAGTAAATTCAGAGCTTGACATTTTGTAAGTTTTATTAGTTTAATGTTTTATTTAGTTAAATTTGGAATATTAAATTTTATAATACAATTGATTTAAACATCTTATATTTATAATAATTTTATCTACATTAATTCTTTGTATCAAAATGAAATCTTTCTTTGTGTCAAAAATGAAACCTTTCTTTTGTACCAAAAACGAAATCTTCCTTTGCACCAAGAATGAAACCTTTGTATATACCAAGAGCGAAACCTTTCTTTGTATCAAAAAAATACAATAGTATATTTCGAAGAAGTGTTATTAATAAATTTAAAGTTGAAACTATATATATATATGTACACTTCCTGGTCATAAATATAAGGACACTTGCAGATCATCGGAAATAATTGAATAAAGAAACATGAAAAAAAATA